CCATTTAGCCTATCCCCCCTCCCACAACCCCTCCAGCAACCCTCTATTTGTTCTCCATATTTAAGAGTTTCTTATGTTTTGTCCCCATCACTGTTTTTGTGTTATTTTTGCTTCCCTTCCTTTATGTTCACCTGTTTTGTATCTTAAAGTCCTCATATGAGTGAAGTCATCTGATATTCGCCTTTCTCTGACTGACTAATTTCAGTTAGCATAATACCCTCTAGTTTATTTTCATCCGTGGTTACCAAATGTATAGTTCACATTCTTTTTTGAGTTATGCCTAATATTACTCCATTGTTTGTGTATATACATCTTTTTTATCCATTCATCCATCGATGGACATTTGGGCTCTTTCTATAGTTTGGATATTGTTGATAGTGAAAGTTCTTTTCCTTCTACCATCATAGGTTCTCTGGCTGAGGCCCTGCAAATTAGACTGATGAAAGACAGACTAACAAGAGAAAAACAAGTTTGTTAATATGCGAATCGTGTATATATGTGGGAGTACTCAGAGATAAGTAACTCAAAGGGATGATTAGAACTTGGGCTTATTTAGCATTAAAAAAGTTTTTTTTAGTAATCTCTACACCCAACTTGGGGCTTAAACTCATGACCCTGAGATCAAGAGTCACACACTCTTACCATCGAGTCAGCCAGGTGCTCCATGGCTTATATAGCATCTTAACAAAAGAACAATAAATGTTTAGAGAAGTGATAAAACAAAGGAATTGAGTTTCTAGGGCAGCAAATTGTGGGAAGGCAAATATATGGGGAACTAATGGAACATAAAATTAGTAAAATTTGTCATGGAGATTCCACTGGTGTAGTCTCCGAGCTGGTAAGGGTATAGAATTGTCTCTGGTCATTAACTTCTGTTCTTTCTGGTTGAGAGAAGATGGGGAATACCTTTATGAGTTTATGTTTTGCTTTTAGGCAAATAGGGGGAGGAAAGAAAGCTTTTTTTTATACTTGATTCTTCTCAGTTGCCTTCAGCTCAAAATAATCCTGATGCCAAAATGATATGTTTTGAAGTGGTGTGTTCTGCTACCCTTCAGATCCCAGGGAGATTAACACTTCAAGACATCTCTTATCTTGGACATATTCTGATGTCCTCAAAAGAAAATGTGACTGCATCCAAATGCTATGATGGCTCCCCAGTTGTGCATTGTGACATTGTGCCAACATCAGAGATGGATACTACTGCAGAGTGGAGAGGTTCTGAGAAGCAGAAGCATGTAAGTAGGACATCATAGCAAATTACATTTTTTTGCCAGATCCTTTCAGATAGATGAATGCAAGGGATTCTTACATAACAATGACCATTTGCCAGTAGTGTGGCGCATCCATTTCTTGCTTCTCTTCATATTTCAGTGAGTGGTTCCAGAATCACTCATGAATTAGTTTAGCACAGTGTTTGCAAAGCTTTGGAAACATTTATGAATATTAATTTATATTGTATTTAAAGTCCTCTACATGTATGCCAAGACCTGATACACATGAAATATGCTGTTAACATTGTCAACTAGATGAAAAAAATTGGCAACTAGCTGGACATTGAATGTTAAAATCATGTTAGTTTTATTAAAAAAATTTTTTTTAATGTTTATTTTAGAGAGAGAGAGTGAGAGAGTGGGGAAGGGGCAAGGAGGGTGTGGGGGACAGAGGATCTGAAGCAGGCTGTATGCTGACAGCAGCAAGCCCAATGCAGGCTTGGACTCACAAACTGGAAGATCATGACCTAAGCTGAAGTTGGAAGGCAGCTATGCTCACCACTATACCACCAACGCTGCACGACCTGAGCTGAAGTCGGAAGCTTAAGCCATTGAACCACCCAGTTGCCCCTTAGTTTTCTTTCCTTCCTCCCTGCCTCCCTCACTTCCTTCCTTCTATCCTTTCTTTTTAAATTTTCATAACAGTGTTTAATAAGGGAGTACCTGGCTGGATCAGTCAGTAAAGTGTGTAGCTCTTGATTTTGGGGTTGTGAGTTGAAGCCTCATGTTGGGTATAGAGATTACTTAAAAACCTTAAATATATATATATGTATATATATATATATATGTGTGTGTGTATATATACATATACACATGTATATATGTGTGTGTGTATATATATATGTATATATTTACTAAGATTTAATTACATTTTATTACTCATTGCTGTTATTACAATCACTCATGTCACCCGACCTCCTAAGTAGTGTTAGAAGTCTGATATTGAAAAAAATAAAATGAAAGAAAGAAAAAGAATGAACGAACCCTGGTAATGTGCTCCTTATTAGGAATATACCCAATTATGTGCTAGTATAGGGAAAATTCAAAGTTTTGTGAGTGTGTAACCATGAGTATCATGCTCCCTTTATCTTCACTGTTCCCTTCAAAACCAAGAAAACATATGGGTGTAGAGACCACATAAGTTTTCAAATAAGCTGAAATTAGAGTTTTGTAGCATTGAAATGGAGTCTTTTCACCAAAGTACAATATAATTTGAAATAGGAAACAGCAATTGGACTCTGCCCAAATCTGTTGACTAGCATTAAGATTGGGCTAATCTTTCTTAGGTGGGAACACTACAGAAGAAAGTCCCACAGGGACTGGCAGTTGAGACACTGTCAGGCAGTTATGAAAATTCATTTTACCTTTGCTGAACATTTGGATGTTGAGCCAGCTGCCTCTGACAGCACAGAAGTTCTAAATTTGACACCTTGAAAGGCTGGTGTCGAAGTGCAAAACCAAAGGCTGCAACAACCTGACTTTGATACAGTGAATGGAACCAGAGTGCACCTGCACTTAAATTCTTTCAATTTCAGCCCACAGTGGGCTCCAAACATTCCTGATAATGTTCCTGTTCAGGTTCCCTTTTTGAAGGCTCCATTTGTGGGGATAGAACATGCTCCATACAGGTGCTTCCAGCAGATGGCTCTTGCCCTCCCCTAAACTTACAGCACAGCCATTGCTTAAGTGCCCCCTTGAAAAAGGTCCAAAGAAAGATATGTAAGCCCATCTATGACATTACCACTTCACAGAGGCTGCAGAGACCCCAGGCCTGAGGAAGACTCACCACATGACATGATCTCTCCATTCCAGAGCTCCAAGGCTGATGAGACCTGCAGCTGGTGGGTGGGAACTCACACCTCTAAGGTCACTGCTCTGGAAGGCCCTATGCTATGGTGTGGGAATTTATTATTAAGTGGGGTGCATTGACTCCAGCTGGTTCCCACCCTACAGGAATCCCACAGGGGACTAGGTATCATTTCCAACTTGTATTTTCCAGCTGTGTGATGACCGGTCAGTCTAACAAGGAAGTAGGATGCTTCAGTGTCTGTGGCTTTAGTTCAGGTGCTGTGTGGAAGAAGCCTAGAGAACTTAGGTCAGACAAACAGTTGACCAAAGTGATGTAGGGTCTGGCCTAATGGTGCTCACTTTCACCAGTAGATGCAAGCTCATGTGAAGCACCTCAAACCTAGCAGGTCACATGAGGCCCTAAGAAGCAGGACCATTGGCATCCAGGTCTTTCTGTCTACATGTAGGCAATCTACTGCCACCTTGGTGGAAAAATTTCTCAAGTGGTACCCTTAGTACTGTACTGTGCCACCTTTCTTCTGCTACTTTCTCTTCCAAGGTCCTGGAGGAGTAACTGTCTTTCCCAGCACACAGTGTTGGTGGAGGGTCTGGAACCAGGCAGCTAAGAGGTATGGAAACCACTGGAACACAGACAGTTCCTCTTAGGTTTGCTGTGATATGCCCATTGTCACCTTGAGTAAGCTGCAGACACTGACATCTTACCCAGCCCTGTTGGACTTTTGCTGTCTCAGCTTGCAGCTCTCTGGAGGACTAGAGTTGGTAGTCCTGACCAGTTGAATATTGGTGCATGCAGATGTCACTAGATGCCAGACCCAGCCCTGTCCTTCGCCCCATGGGCCCCTCTTTTTCTGAAACCACCATCCCCAGAGAGTTAGTTCTTCCGGGATATTCCCCAGACCCTTTGGCCAGCTTTTCCACCTTTCCCTTCTGGGGTCAATACTTTACAGTGTCTACAACCAAAATATCTCCCCACCAGGAGAACTTTCACCATCCACTGGTCATTTAGAACCCTTCTTCATTTGTGGACATCCATGGGCCTTATTCCACTTCACCTTTCTGGTAGGCTGTCTTGGTCTTAAGACAGTACATGTCTCCCTCCTGTATAAATGGATCCATCCCTTTATCCCTGAAGACTATTAAACTGACCCCCATTTGTGTTTTTAGACCTAAGCCCTTCAGCTCAGATTGTCCTTTCCTCAAGGTCCTTGATTACCAACCCATCATAGGACTGGAGTAACTAACCGACCTTTCCCTTTTCAAGGTAGAAGTTTCTTTACATTCTTTCCTCGGGCTACTTTGTTAAAGCGCATTTCAAAATAAGGTATACATTTTCCTTTGATGTTTAGTTTTAGCAGTTTTATCAAACAGTATTTTTCTCTTGGAGCTGCCCTGGTATTATGCATTTCTGAACCAAACAACTCATATCTGATTGTTCTATCAAAAAAATAGGTTTGACATTAGCTGCAGTGGAACACCACCTCAAAGCCTGTCCTCTTTGAACTCTCCTGCTTGGGTCTCAGCTGCTGCAGCAAGGAAGCCTAGATAAGGCCATATGGAGGAGAACTGAAACCTTTGGGCAACAGCCCCAGCTGAACTTCCAGTTGGCATCTGCCACCAGCTGTCAGCTTTGGGAGTGAGGTCGTTTGGACCTTTCTTCTGCACATCACAGAATGGGAGTCCTTTTCCAGATGTACTCCATGTGTGAGGTTTGGAAAAAAACACATATTAGTTGATAATATTGCAGTGTGATGGAAAAAGAATGGCAAATAAGATCTAGCAGAGAAGAATGCCAATAGGATCCCTGTGAGGTGGGCATTCCAGACAGCAAGAGGGATGGATGTTCCAAGAGTGGGCAAGCTTGAGGCGAGCAAAAAAGATACCTATTATGATGAAGTCATAGGTATTGAGCTGGAAATAAATAAGGACAGGTGGCTAGGTCCGAAGACTAAATAGAGATTTCTTGTGGCAGAAAGATGAATACCCAATACTTGTTAGAGGTGATTGGTTTAGAAAGGGTTTTACCTTATCCAGATACTTGAAGAACCATTATACAGGGGGCAAAGAAAAGAATGCCTAACAACACTATTACTAAATTATACTTGAATTTAAAAATAAAGCCTCTTTCATTCTTAAAAGTACCCATTTCAAAAGCTTACATTGCCCACCAAACAGTCTTTATTTTTTTATTAAAGTTTATTTTATTTATTTATTTTGAGAGAGAGAGCAGGGGAGAGGCAGAGAGAGATGGAGAGTGGGAATCCCAAGCAGGCTCCACACTGTCAGTGCAGAACCTGATGGAGGGCTCAAACTTACAAACCGAGATCATGACCTGAACCAAAATCAAAAGCCAGACACTTAACTGACTGAGGTACCCCTCAGTAGCAGCAGTTTTTAAAGGATAATTTGGATCATGCTCAAATAGAGCTCTGCAAATTTCTTATTGCACTTTTCTTCACTTGAGAGAGAAACTGTTTACACGAACATGAAACAAACCTAAAACCTGGACCTTCACAGAGCTTTCACTCACCCAAATAAATGCATTTATTTGTTATTCTTAGCACTTAACCTAATAATACCCCCTGAGTTATATATAACATTCTTCTGAATATCTACAATGTAGCAGTTATTTCTGAACATTTACTCCTGGAAATTCACAGGATGAACAAGTTTGCATGCCGTAGGATTTCTGAAAACCATCTTGGCAAAAATAAAATAAAAATAAGTGAGGTAGGGCACCTGGGTGGCTCAGTCGGTTAAGCATCGGACTCTTGGTTTTGGCTCAGGTTATATTCTCATGGTTTGTGAGTTCAAGCCCCACGTTAGGCTGTGCACTGATAGTCCGGAGCCTGCTTGGGATCCTCGCTCTCCCTTTCTCTCTACCCCTTCCCTGTTTGTTCTCTCCCTCTCTCTTTCTCAAAAAAAAAAAACAAAAAAACAAAAAAACAAAAACTTAAAAAGTGAGGTAATCATTTCACAGTATATACATATGTCAAATCATTATGTTGTACATCTTAAAGGAATACAGTGTTCTATGTTGATTATATCTCAGTAAAACTGGGGGAAAATGAATGAGGGCTTTGGAATAAAATTGGAACGTAATTTTACTAGCTAAGTATTTAGTCTGTCTTGGCTTAACTACAGTGAAAGTATTCTAATATTAACCTCAAAGAATCCTATTCCAAGAATATGGTAGTTAATGGTAAATAGGGCTGGAAGGAAGTTCCTCATAGGTGGAGATTTTTACGAAACCAATTAGAGTCTCAAAGTTCTATTTTTCTAGAAACATCAAAAACTATCAGGATGTGTTGAATTTTGATAGTGACTCTTGAAAATGTTTAGAAATTAAATGCACTGGTTCTTTAGTTGTATGTATATTATGGTGGATTTAATGAAAAGAATCTTCTCAGATCAAAAGCATATTTTCCTCAAATCTATCTTAGTTCCTTAACTACCTTGACATCCCAATTAAGAGCAGGGAGAAAATCAAGGAGAAGACACAGGGAAAATAAAAACTAATACAAAAGGAAGACAGTGATGTTTTACATTTGTATCCCAGCATTCTTCATTTGCCCTCATTTTTTGCTGACAATAATAAAATCTGAAGCATGCAGTCTCACATAGTGAGTAGCTCAGTCACTGTAACCTATTATGGTAATACCTGCTCATAATTCATCAGGGGACCACAAGAAATACAGAACTACATGCTCACAAAAACAGCAGCTAACCTTTAAAAAAGAAGCAAAAAAACAAAAACAAAAACAAAAAAAGGAAAGGAAACAAAATGTATGGGGTCATTTCTTCTCCAGAGAATAAAAAAAGACTAAAATATATCAACTGATGGCAGAATATGAGAATTCATTACTGTTCTGTAAAATTTACAAAAATATTTGCATGCTAAAACCTATCAGAGTTTATTAACAAGCTGTCATTTATTGAGCACCTACTAGATACAGAGCACTTTTACATGTCAGTTGGGGTTACCATTCACAGTTCTAAGCCAGAGTAGCAGGGACTGTGGTCATAGGCATACTTGTATGTATGTAACATAACTGTTACAACAACTCCTTTGGAAATAATACAAAACCCAGTGCAAACTGGCTTAAGAAAAAGAATTTCTTGGGTTACACAATGCAAAATTATTTTCAATAAAAAATAGTTTTGATTTTTTTTCCTTTTTTCTTAATGTTTGTTTGTTTATTTGTTTAGAGTGTGCACAAGGAGCAAAGGGGCAGAGAGAAGGACAGACAATCCTGCACAAGTGGGGAAGGGGCAGAGAGGAGAGACAGAATCCCAAGCAGGCTCTGTGCCATAAGTGCAGAGCCCGATGTGGAGCTCGAACTAATGAACTAGGAGATCATGACCTGCGCTAAGCTCAAGAGCCAGATGCTTAACTGATTGCACCACCCAGATGCCCCCAAAATAGTTTTTGAAAATAAATTATTATTGTTTCAATGTCTATATTTTCTAGAGTCCAATGGACTTCAGAACATCAAAAACTGATTATGTAATTTGCTATTAGTATTATGAGCAATTGAAAAGCTCATTTATTTACTTACTTATTTTTAAATGTATATTTTTGAGAGAGAGCATGTGTGTGCATGAGTGGGGGAGGGGCAGAGAGAGAGGGAGACAGAGAGAGAATCCCAAAGGATGGGCTCACACAGCTGTCGCTCAGCACAGGCCAGTGATCATCAGCTCAACCCCACAAACACTGAGATCATGACCTGAGCTGAAGTCCGATGCCCAACTGACTGAGCCACCCAGGTGTCCCGAAGAACTCATTTTTTAAAAGTTTATTTATTTTGAGAGAGAGTGGATGAGAGCACAGGCAGGGGAGGTTCAAAGAGAAGGAGAGACAGAATCCCAAGCAGGCTCCACACCATCAGCACAGAGCCCATGAGATCACCTGAGCTGAGATCAAGAGTCAGACACTTAGGGACCCCTAGGGTGCTCAGTGGGAAAGGTGCTTTGCTTTGACTTTGGCTCAAGTCATGACCTCATGGTGGGTCCAAGCCCCATGTTGGGCTATTTATGCTGACAACTCAGAGCCTGGAGCCTGCTTCCGAGGATCATGTGTCTTCCTCGCTGCCCCCCCACATCACATTCAAGTTTAAAAAAAAAAACCACACACACACACACACACACACACACACACACACACAAAACATTAAAAACAAATCACTCAATCAGCAACTGACCAAGCCACCCAAGGCACGCTGAAAAACTCATTTAAAAAAATTAAAATAAAATTTAATGTTTATTTTTGAGAGGGAGATAGAGCGTGAGAAGGGGAGGGGGAGAGAGAGATACACAGAATCCAAAGCAGGCTCCAGGCTCTGAGATGTCAGCGCATAGTCCGATGTGGGACTTGAACCCACTAACTGAGAGATCATGATCTGAGACTAAGTTGGATGCTTACCTGACCACCCAGGCACCTCAAAACTTTTTTTTTTAATGGTCAATGTGGGGCTTGAACTTAAAACCTCCAGATCAAGAGTCACCTGTTCTATCAACTATGTCAGGGATGCCCCCAAAAGCTTTGGTTTTGTTTTTTTTTTTTGAGAAACTCATTTTTTACAAGTAGTGTCTCTGAGGTAATTTCAAAGGTAATTCATTCACATAAAGGTTTCAAAAGGATCACAGCTACCTTGCAACTGTAGTTCATTATCAGAACTAAATGAATTATTCTGACAATAATATTAATTACAATCCAAATTTAATGGTAATTCTACTTCAGGGATATATTGCAGTTGTTTGGATTATAATTTAGTCAGTATTCCTAAGTGGCCTACTTCAATAGTCAAGACTGTGAAACAAGTACAATGTAACATATTTTATATAGCGTTTTATAGCTTTAAAAATGCTCCCATTTTAAAAAAACATTGTGTTTGGAGTGCATAACAACTCAGGGAGGTCAACACAACTGATTTAGCACCTTCGGTCTTAAGGTGAAAAAACTGAGACTCCGTTATACTTAGTTGAGCAGTTGTAACTTATAAACATTACACAACTGGTAAATAGTGGGGATGGGTCTGGAATAGGCCCCCAGACTTCCAGTCATTTCCCATTACACCAAGCGTAAAGAATACTACTTAAAAGGGCAGACGCTGGCTCCATGTGACTGTGAGCAAATTAATCTCACCAGGCAACAATCTGTCTGTAAATTGGGAATAATAGCATGTACTTCACTGGATAATACTTCACTGAAGATAAAAGGTGCTAATACCTGCAGAGCACCTAGAACAGTATCTGGCAAATCACAAGCCCTATATAAGTTCTACCATGTCACCTTAACCCCTAATGAGATGGGGGTCTTCTACACCTTACTAAATAATACACCCAATTAAGCACAGAAGGAGGGCACATCTCAGAAATTTTCTAAGTGTGAGAAGAGTAGAGAGCAAACCATATTTTTTACTTCTAATATCCCACTATTTTTGATTTAGTTATATTTCCACAATGTCTTTACAACCAAGTAAATCTGGCAAACCTGTGTTAGGAGCACTTGCCTAGGATTGAGACCACCAAGACCCTTAATTACTCAAGAAGCTGACATCAAGAGGACATGCCAGTCAACGTGTAACATAATTTTCAATAAAAACGAAGCAATTGGTCTCTGACCAAACCCACTGAAAAGTACATGGAGTGACCTAATGAAAGATGGCTGGGTCAAAGCCCCAGCGAGACCCAGCTGCAACAATGAAAATTCTTTAAAGAAGTGTTTCAGTCCGCTAAAGGTCTGCGCGGGTCTTTTGGATACCTTGGATTGGGCAGAGCTTAATGCTCAGCTACAACAGGTGGCTGTAAATCGTCCGTGACCAGGAGGCCCCCACAGTTCTAGTTCTGCCAATGCAGGCCGAAGTTGGTTCAGCCGCCGTGCTCCTGACAAACCTGGAGTCCCCATTTCCCATTCGTGCCTCGCCCTCTAAAATCTCCACCAGTGGGTGCGGGACGTTCTCCGAGGTCTCGCGTTACTGGCGCAAATTCAGAGCAATTTCGCGAACGGAGGCCTTTGCTACAAAGTCGGGGGTAAGGGGATGGCAGAACCCAGGTCTTCCCTGGCAAGAAGACCGTAAGTGGAAGGCGACAAGGCGACGCCATAAGAGACGCCGAGCTCCAGGCTCTGTCGCCGCGGCTCCGCCCACGACGACG